TGTTCCCCTCCCTGTGTCCATGTGTTCTCATAAACATTAATATTTTCAACTTACAATGGGTTTATTGAGATGTAATCCCATCATAAGTCAGGGAATCTCTGCCCTGAATATACTTCATTGTGGAGGGCTGTCTTGTACATCGAGGGATGGTTAGCAGCATCCCTGGCTTCTACCTGTTAGGTACCGTAGCATACCTTCCACTGTCATGACAACCAAAGTATCTCCAGACATTGCTAGATTGGGCAAAATTGTGCGCAATTGAGAATCACTGGCTTAAAAGGAAAAGGGCCATTGCATGGAGAGGCATGGCCATTTCCTAATATGTCACTTAATCAGTTAGGATTTTTGTTTCGTATTTAGCATTTTGCTGTTACAAATAAAGCTGCAATGAACATTGTTTCTTTATGTATTTGGGCATGATAAATTTCTAAAAGTAAAATTGCTAGGTTATAAGATACTGTATTTAGGATTGTGATGTTGCCTGTGTGACCCCTAAAGACATTAAACAAATAGCACTACCTTTACTATTTTATTTAAGATACTCTTTTTAGAATTTCCTCAATTTTTAAACTTAAATAAGATTCACAAAAATATGGGTTTATATGACAATACTCATTGTCTTATTATATATTAAAATAAACACAGTAAATATTCTTTAAAAAATTTTTCATGCACAACCAAAAATAATAATAATCTTTCACACCAAATATTGGAACACTCCCTTCACTTTAAATATGTGGTAACTGACTAGAAAAGAGTCCTCCCACAAATTTACAGTGATCTGTAGTCAAGACTCTTTGGATGCTTTTATTATTCAACTAACTGATTTTGTTTAAGTCATACTTCTCTAATTCATCACATGGGTATCATGAACTATTTGGCCAAATGCTAGGTTAAAAGCAAAGCACTTCACATCTTTGATCTTCCTTCATCTTAACAATTCTTGTAAAATGTGAGCGGTGTCACACTGCTGCAGGAATTTCTTCAGTTACTCAGTAAAGGACATTTGCAAATGCCTTTTCTAACTTCATAAGAACAGGCTAAGCACTAGGGAGGGATATTTTCTAAGTATCCAGGTGGGTGTGTAAAAATAAAAAGTAATGGTTGTAATTATTTTTTGACAGCAAGAATTGAAGGAAATGGATTGAGAACACACAGAGCGACACGGCACACTGATTTTCAACATAACCCCCATTCAGCATTTTACTGTTTATCATCTGCTGTACATATGGAGGCACAGTTGCCAGCTCTTTGGCACGGTCATCCCCACATTATACAGAGGTCATTCCTGGGCATCCATTGTTATATCTTGGCATTCTCAACATCATCAGTCATTTTTGCAAGGCACAGAGGGGTCAGGTCTGAGATCTAGCCACGCTCAGTGCAGCAGAATAGGAGTCCAGAGGATGACTTGGGTGCAGATGAATGAAGTTCAAATTGCCAGGCAAATGTGGCTTCTGTGATAGGAGCAACATTAGCAGCTAGTGCCCCTATTAGGAGTTTGGGTGGAAGGTCACAGCCTAGTGGAAAATCTCAGTGATGTGAAATCTTGTGGGGTAGGGGATGCTATGGGAGGAGACTGAAAAGTGGATGAAGGCAGGCATTCCACAACAAAGAGATCTTAAAAGACAGGAGGCCCTTAGGCTATGGCATATGGGGAGCCTGGCAAGACAGGTTCAGAAGACCCAGGACCTAGGAACCAGCTGTTGTCCTAGCAGTTCAAAGAACAGGAAGAGAAGTCAAAGCAGGGACCAGACCCAGTTATAAGAATGAGGGCACAAGGGCTCGGAATGGGGAAACAAGAGCATGGTCGTTATAGTCAGAAGACACGTGAGGGATAGTCTAACCAGTGGTACAAGTTGTTGCCAAGCATGATCCGGTGCTGGTCTCAGGAGGCCTAATTATCTCCTGATTCAGGTTAATACTAGTCCAAGGAATGGAGGGTGGCGTTGAGCATCAAGTGGGACTCAAGTTGCCTCAGTGATGGTACAGAGTGGGAACTGGATATGATCAATCTGTTCACTACATCATAAGCTCCTTGAAAGCAGACACGATCTCAAGTGCCGAGCAGGGAGTGGCACATGCTCAGTGAATATTTGTTGAATACATGAAGAAAAGGAGAAATAGTCACTGTTGGGTGGGGTATTCCATCAGGCTTTCCCAGAGTTTCAGTGAAATACCCCAAACATTTCATACTATTTGCTGTTTTTATTCCACCATATCCAAGCAAACTGCTGATTTGAAACAATAACTTTCCTGGTTTCTTCATACTAGAAACAAAGCATAGATGTTACATGAATTTGACCACTAGTCATTATCTCCCTGTGTTGTGCATTATGTTGACATCTGGTTAATACCTCGTGGTAGTTTGTGTGGGTTACAATGAACAGCATCAGTCTGTGAAGATGGACATAGGGTCCGAGACCCTCTGTAGCAGAGAAAGAAAACTGATGAATTATAAAAGTATCTGGCTTGTAGTCCTATTTTATCTTTCACTCTCCTTTTTAAAAAAATATATATTTTATTGCATTTTAGGTTTTGGGGTACATGTGAAGAACATGCAAGATTGTTGCATAGGTACATACATGGCAATGTGGTATGCTGCCTTCCTCCCCATCACCTATATCTGACAATTTCTCCCCATGTTATCCCTCCCCAACTCCCTACACCCCGCTGTCCCTCCCCTAGTTCCCCCGACAGACCCCAGTGTGTGATGCTCCCCTCCCTGTGTCCATGTGTTCTCATTGTTCAACACTCGCCTACGAGTGAGAACATGCGGTATTTTATTTTCTGTTCTTGTGTCAGTTTGCTGAGAATGATGGTTTCCAGGTTCATCCATGTCCCTACAAAGGACATGAACTCATCATTTTTTGTAGCTGTGTAGTATTCCATGGTGTATATGTGCCACATTTTCCCTGTCCAGTCTATCATTGATGGGCATTTGGGTTGGTTTCAGGTCTTTGCTATTGTAAACAGTGTTGCAATGAACATTCGTGTGCATGTGTCCTTATAGTAGAACGATTTATAATCCTTTGGATATATACCCAGTAATGGGATTGCTGGGTCAAATGGAATTTCTATTTATAGGTCTTTGAGGAATCACCAGACTGTCTTCCACAATGGTTGAACTAATTTACACTCCCACCAGCAGTGTAAAATTTCCTATTTCTCCACATCCTCTCCAGCATCTGTTTCTCCAGATTTCTTAATGATCACCATTCTAACTGGCGTGAGATGGTATCTCAATGTGGTTTTGATTTGCATCTCTCTAATGACCAGTGATGATGAGCATTTTTTCATATGTTTGTTGGCCTCATATATGTCTTCTTTTGTAAAGTATCTGTTCACTCTTCCGTTGTTGCATTTAAAAAAAACTGATTATTGTCCAGAATTGTATCCATCATATTTTTGAGGTTCATGACACATCCTCACAATTGGCTCATTCACTGACTCAAATATTGTTGACTCAAATATTCAGGTGTTGTCTTGTCCTGAGAAACTGAACGATCCAGCAACACTGGGTCTATTTCTCTGCAGGGCAACCATTAGCAGCTGCTCAGAGTGCTGTTCCTTTTCATACCGATCTCTGTTGTCTCCTGACCAAGAGGCTTCATGACAGTTGACGTGCATCACTGGGCATTAACTGCTACTTTTCTAATAAAATGGAGGGAGCTATTTTATTGTATCTACTCCATCCATTTACATTGCATGCCTGGTGAGTGTCATTTGAGTTTGAGAACTCTGCTCTGCTGGGCAACCCTTTTGACATCCCCAATAATAGCTACCATTCATTGAGCCCTTATTATCTGCAAGCACAAAACTAACAATTTTTGATCCATTATCTCTTTAATCTCTATCAAGTTCGATGAGGTAAGTCTGGGCTGTCATCTCCATTTTTCAAGTGTGGGAATTGAAGCTCACAGAAGCGAAGTAACTTGTGCAAGATTACAAAACTTCTAAGTGGTGACACTGAGATTCAAACTTGAATTCAAACCTTGGATTCAAAGCCTGAATCCAAAGCTGGGGTTTAAAAAATGTTTTTAAATTACACTGCTTCCCAACCAATAATCCTTTAATCATAGAATTGCTGCTATCAAGTGGGATTTCTTTCCCATATTCAGTCCATGTGGTACTGAAAACCAGGAAGAATATCTTCCTGGTATTCAATGACAGCCTGGAGCTGCTGGAGAGGGAGGATGTGTGGTTCTGGGGTCACTATGACTCTCATAAATTAGTGATCCTGGCAATGGGGTGTGTGTGTGTGTGTGTGTGTGTGTGTGTGTGTGTGTGTGTGTAGCTGGGCTGTCCCAGCGCTATCCACAGGGAAGCTCTTATAAAGGGCTCCATCTCTGGCTTCACAGCTGTCAGACCATTGAGATGTGGAGGCTGTTGCTGTGGGTTGGTGAGTGTGACAGGTCCCAGCAGTGTCACTCAGTCCAGGAGATGCCAGACTTTATGAGTTTGTCATCTCTCTGGTGCTGAGACAGCAGCCTGGGACTCAGGGAGCCTGGATTAGGTAGAGATGGGATGGGCCATAGTGAACGGTCAGAGGGACCCAGGGAGACGTGGTCAGAATAGTGGTTCTCAAACCTGGTGGCATATTAGAAATTTTAAGTGCCTGAGTTTCACCTTGGACCAGTCCAATCGGAGTCTCTGTGTGACCAGCCAGGATATCAGTCATTCTTAATTTGCAGCGGGGGTTGAGAGCCACTGGCCTCAAGCTTTTTCTGGGACTTCTAACACTCACTGTTGTCCCGGTGCAAACCATGAGAATATACACGTGCTTATTAGAGAGAAAAGGAACTTACATCTAGCTCCACTGGGCCAACCTTAGAGACTAGGAAGCGAGTGAGTGGTGTCTGTCCCCATGTGTGCGTCTGCACCTGCATAAGGTGGTGTGTTGGTGGGCGCCCTTGCTAACCAGAGGGTGTGCCGTGGCATGCCACTCTGGCGAGCGTATGAATCTGTGTGACTCCTCCCTTTGTTTCCTGCAGGGTTGGTTCTTGTGCTGACACACCACGATGGTAAGGAAACTGTTTTCCCTTTCAGAGCCCGGGAGAGTCTCCGGCTGAGAAGTCCTCCGCATTGAGTGCCCCCTGCAGCCCCCTTTGCTCTGGCTCCTCTGTCAGGGGTTATTGATCCAATACAGTTCCTCAGAGGATTTTTGGTCACCTGCTGTTTGTGTCATTGACTGTATGCCTTGGTCCAGATCTGAGAATCCGTTCTGACCAGGATTTCACAGGGCATTCTTTACTTCCTGAGACCTCAGCAGTGGGGGAGGAATAGAACCTCAGTGTAGTTTTGAGGTGGACGTCAGGGCCGGGGAGAGCAGGTGTTAAAATGTGGCCTGGCCCCTTGGGCTGTGTTCACATTGTTTTCTGGAAGCTGAGCTCTACCCGTTCCCTGGGTCTCTGCCAATTAATGTGTGCTCTCCCTTACCAGGTGCTGCCTACAAACTGGTGTGTTATTTCACCAGCTCGGCACACAGTCGGCCAGGCCCCGCCTCCATCTTGCCCCATGACCTGGACCCCTTTCTCTGCACCCACCTGATATTTGCCTTTGCCTCAGTGGACAACAATCAGATTGTTGCTAAGGATCTCCAGGATGAGAACATTCTCTATCCAGAGTTCAACAAACTAAAGGAGAGGTGTGTTATGTTCGATGTGGGGGTTGTAATTTCACATGTAGAAGATAACAGCCTATTTCTCCTGTTACTCTTCAACCTTCCTCTATTACAGTCCTAGCTTCCTCTCAAATCAGGGTCCAGAGCAGCCCCAACTTGAGAACTCCCTGTCACAGACACCTGGAGCTCTTTTCCGCCTCCTTGCTTCTGTAGTTGCTGTTGCCTCTGCCTGGAATGTGCTTCTCTCTTTTCTCTGCCTGGCGAACTCCAACTCAGCCATTGAACCTAGTTGTGAGGATTTCAGGTGTTAATGCTGTTAAAGTGGGCCCACACATCCCAGATGCTCAACAAATGCTCGTGTTTTAGTTACCATTTGTCACCTGTGAACCACTCCAGGGAAGGGGCAGTGTCTGCTGTGTCGTTGTAGCCCAAGTGCTAGGTCAGTGTCTCATACCGCGTTGGTGATCAGTGTTTGCTTACATTTTCCTCTCTCTAGCACTCCTGGGATCGTTCCCTGCCCAAGAGAAGGTTTGTTACTCCGTTAATAGTTACAGATGAGCAGGGCAAAAGTTCTATGCCACTAGATTACAAGCTCCCTGAGAATGGGGAGCTGATCTGTGTTATTCTCTGTTCTAAAGTGCCTAAAGCAGTCAGTGGCACATAGACATTGCTCAAGAAATATTTGTTGAATAGGAAAGTTAGTAAAGAGAAACATTTTAGACTGTTCTTTTGCAGAAGCATCATGGGGACATGGGCAAGTTTGGTGGACTTTGTGCGGCCTTGGAGTTGATGGGTTGTGATGGCCCTTGGGTTGATTGTTCTCCTCTCTTTCCTCCTCTCTCATTCACTTGTCTCTCTCTTATCACCTTCTCCCTTTTCCTTGCCTTACCTCCCATCTCTCCTGTGGCCTGTTTTTCTTCCAATGAGCAAAACAAAAGAATGTAGCAGCAGCTGCCCACTGGAGTGGAGGACCCAGCTTATCAACCCTTTCTTCCACATCATAGGAACAGAGAGCTGAAAACACTGCTATCCATCGGCGGGTGGGACTTTGCCAACTTAAGGTGAGACTTTGCTCTTACTGTCTTCTCCCTGGGAGGGTGGAGCAGGCTGACTAGATGTGAAGACAGAAGGGGAAGCCAGCTTGGCCACAGGGACAGCGAAACTAGTGCAAGCACTTCCCTAAGTCGTGAATCCTAGACCCCCTGCACTCGAGGGACATCCTGGCCTCTTCTCCATGGTGGGTCAGGGGAGATGAGGAAGTTCTAGCAGGTGGCAAGAAAGGGACTGGGGGAAAATTAGAGGCAAAATGAGGCACTCACAATTGTCTCCTCAATCTTTCATAAGAGGCAAGGGTTTTGTCTCCAAGGGAAGGAAAAATGTGCAGGACGAGAATAACTCCCAAACCTCACGGGCTTCTTCACTTTATTAACGGATCCAGGGATATCAACCTCGAAGGACTGGATCAGAGGAAAGGAAATAGCAAAATGCTAAGCTTAGTGCCCAGCACATAGTACACGTTCAGTGTGCAGCAGCTGCTCTTGTGAGCACTTCAGTCTCCATGAGGCAACATGGAAATGACAAACTGCCTTCATATTTTCTGAAGAAACATTTCCCCTATTTCATGGCTGAGGACTGGGGTGGAGGCCATGCTTGCCTTGTTGCCTTAGAGGCATGAGATGCAGGAGAGGGATGCCTGGTGGCCTGGGAGTGTGTGAGAATGCACTTTGCAAGATGGAGGAAGGATCTGGGGCAGAGGGGTGAGAACCAGCTCTGCTAAGTCCCAGGCTTTGCCTCTTCCATTCTCTGAACACTCCCTGTGTTCCAGATGCTGGGCTAGGGCTGTACATGCATTGCCCAGTGAACACTCAGAGGAAACTTACAAAGTGGTTATATTCCAAATTGGTACAACAGAAAGCACAAGTCACAGGTATTAAGATATTTTCCAGATTTGTCCCGGGTATTCCTCAGAGATTGCCCAGCTTGGAGGTGTCAAACTGACCATGGAAACGAGGTCTGTTTGTGAGTCTGGTTAATTTTCTAATCATGGCTCAGGACTACCCCAGAGTTGCTTAAAGTTCAGCTCCAGTAAGTTAGAATGTTTCCAAAGTGTTGTCACTATGGAAGAGAAAACAAAGTACAATAGAAAACTGTCGAGCAAGCAAGTGAACAAAATAACACAGGATCAGGAGCCCCTCGTCAGAGCGCAGGCCTCTTGTGCCAAGTTATACAGCTCAGGCCCAGATTAACTCATAGGTCTTTCTGGACCTGCTGGCCCTTGGCTCATGTTCTCTGCCTTAATCCAGTCAGGTAGAAAATGTCAGCTAAGATAGGTCGTGGGAACCGAATAGTTACCTATGAGGAGATAGCACAGAGAGGCACAGTGCCTTGCCAGTGAGCATACCATGTATTAGGGGACAGAGCTGGACTGAGCCAGTTCTCCCCACCCCAGGCTACTGTTTGGTTCTGTGCCTGCTGTTCCCTGTGCCACCTGGCCTCGGGGCAGCACATGGTTTTCAGCCTCTTTTAGCTGCCTGAATTCCCCACTCCTGGGTATCAAGCTCCTGGTGCTGGGAGAGGCGTGTCAGAAGGTGGGGGAGTTGCGGAGATCTGCCTTCCTTTCCTCCAGCCACATCTGCCATGCCCACCATAGGGCACCAAGCTTGTGAGGGGCCTTGTAGGAGGCTGTGATTCTGTGGATAGTGTTCTTTGCCTTACGCCTGGTCTCCCTGCAGGTTCACCTCTATGTTGTCCACATTTGCCACCCGTGGAAAGTTTATTGCTTCAGTTATATCCCTTCTGAGGACATATGACTTTGATGGTCTTGACCTTTTCTTCTTATATCCTGGGCTGAGAGGCAGTCCCAGGCATGACCGGTGGACTTTTCTCTTCTTAATTAAAGTAAGTCCGGTCTGGAAGTGCCAGAATCAAGAAATTATTCTACTTTTAGAGGTGGGAGAGGAGCATGAGTCCAGGGGCAGGGGCAGAAGAGGGTGACAGAATGTTCTTTTACTGTGAGACCCTGGAGGGCAATACCTATAACACCGGAGGTTACTCTGTTCTCTGCACCTGCGGCTTGCTCCAGCCCTCCAGCCTAAGGGATGCCTTTGTGCAGCTTTCTGCACTCCCTCAGGCGGTGTCTGTCTGAATTCTGTGCCCTGTGGCAGGGCCCATGTCTGACTCACCTTCGTGTCCCAGAGCCTGGCTCAGGGGCTGAGTAAATGCTTCCTGGATGACACTGCCCACCAGCCCCTGCCTCTCTGTTTGTCCAGTTCTCTGTGTCTTTCTGTCTTTCCTCCTAGGAGCTCCTGTTTGCCTTCCAGGAGGAGGCACTGCTCACCATGCGCCCTAGGCTGCTGCTGTCTGCTGCTGTTTCTGGGGTCCCACACATCGTCAAAACATCCTATAAAGTGCGCTTTCTAGGAAGGTGAGTGGATATTGTCTTGGTGGGGCAGGACATTGGAGGGAAGCATGTGTCTTGAGCTTAGAACCCCAGGGCTTCCCGAGCACTGTTTTTGAGCTCACCATGTGCCTGCCCTGATGTCAGTGCAAGTTTGGGGCTGGGCTGAGGGGCATGGATGGGGACAAGGGCTAGCTCCTTTAGATCTGCCCCCAACAATGTTAGCGTGGGTAGAATCTTCTGTGCAGCCTATTGCTGGGTCTCATGAGGAGAGAATCCCAGGGTCCTGACCTCTTTCTATTTAGAGTATAGCTGTAGACTTACGTTCTGCAGCAGATGCTGGCAACCACTGTTGATGATTTAACAACCACTGTCACAAAACAAAAGTAGGAATGCCCAACCACACCCAGTATTCAGAGCAGTTCTCCATGCAAAAGTTCAAAAGCTAGACAAAGAACAGGACATAAGTCTTTTTGGACATGTCAGCTCTAGGTATATATATATATATACCTACATATGTGTGTGTGTGTGTATATATATACATTTTTTTTTGGGACAGAGTCTCACTCTGTCACCAGGCACCAGGCTGGAGTGCAGTGGCGCGATCTCGGCTCACTGCAACCTCTGCCTCACAGGTTCAAGCAATTCTCCTGCCTCAGCCTCCCAAGTAGCTGGGACTACAGGCGCGTGCCACCATGCCCAGCTAAATTTTTTGTACTTTTAGTAGAGACGGGGTTTTACCATGTTGGCCAGGATGGTCTCGATCTCTTGACCTTGTGATCCTCCCACCTCGGCCTCCCAAAGTGCTGGGATTACAGGTGTGAGCCACCGCACCTGGCCTCTAGGTATATTTTTTAGAACTTTGAGAATCAAGTATTTACAGAAGAGGAAACTGAGTCAGATGTAGACCAAAAGAGAAATGGGATGTTCCTGTGTGGTTGCACTCGAGAGTGGTTTCAATGTGGGAGGAAAGAGAGAGACGCAGGGGACATGGAGTTTGTTAGTGTTGATCTTTTAGCCAGGCAGGATTAAGAGAGTCCTGCCTTCACCCAAATGGGCAACTTTAGGCAAATTAGTTAACTCGCCTGAGTTTCAATTTCTTCAACTTTAAAATGGAGGTAGGTACGGTACTTAGGGAATTAGCCAGATTGAAATTAAATTAGATCATCAATATAAACTCTTATCCCTGTGACCTGGTAATGATGAAAGCTTTCTAGAGGAGGTGGGTTTCAATGGTGCCTGGAATGGTAGAAAGACAAGCTATGGGACAGACTGCTTTTACTCATGACTATTTGTGCAGATGTCTGTTAGCATTTGTATCAGGCCTGAGTGTATTTTCTCTCATCTAACCCCTGCCTACCTCCACAGATACTCTCAGGATGCATAGATCTTCATGCACAGCTATTCCTAAGCAGCTGTTTGTTCCAGTGGCAGGTGGCCAGCACAGCCTGGGCAGGGCCCACAGGCAGAAGGAGCAGGGAAGCTCTGGTGACCAATGTCTAGCTAGTTAGCTAGACAGTGCTGTGGCGATCTGACTTGGAAATCTGGCTAGCCCAGTCTTTATATCTCTTCCTCCTGCCCCTTGCAGACTCCTGGATTTCATCAATGTCTTGTCTTATGACTTACATGGAAGTTGGGAAGGGTTCACAGGACATAACAGCCCCCTGTTCTCTCTGCCTGACGATCCCAAATCTTCGGTAAGAAAAGGAAAGATCTCAGGTGGCCCAGATATCTGCCCCTGAGCTCAGGCCATTGGCTGTTAGTAACAAGGAGGGGTCTGGATTCTTCCTACCTGCAGGCGTATGCTATGAATTATTGGAGAAAGCTTGGGGCACCTTCAGAGAAACTCATCATGGGGATCCCCACCTATGGACGTACCTTTCACCTCCTCGAAGCCTCTAACAGTGGGTTGCAGGCCAGAGCTATGGGACCAGCATCTCCAGGGAAGTACACCAAGCAAGCAGGCTTATTGGCTTACTATGAGGTAACGGAAATAGCAGCCTCTGTCTAAGGCTTTCCCAGTTAGGACTCTCCCACCCTCATCTGGAGCAAAGGCCAGCATAAGGGGCAATGGCAAGGGTGAGAGCTGTAGACAGGGCAAAGAGGTAATCTATTAGGACAAGGGAAATCCACTCTGTGGAATATTTTCTTTTTCTTTGTGGTAAGTTATTTGAGTCCTGTGTAAGGGATGAAAGGCTTGGTGGAATCTTCATGGAAGGTTTTCATTGTACCCCAAAAAAGAATCTTGAATGCTATACAGGTAAACCCTGACTTTCTATATGGCCTAAATAAAAATCATTAATATTTGCAATGTATATCATTTCAAACATATATAAAAGTAAAAGATAGTACAAGCTCTGTACCTCCCTGACATTCTACCCACTCAGCTTCAATCATTAATCATTCATGGCCAATTTTGTCTCATCTCTGCTCTCCGACTTCCTCCCTCCCTACTACTAGATTATTTTGAAGCATTTCCAAGACATTCTCTACTACAGGTTTTTTCTTTCTACTCCACCTCCACCCTCTTCATCCTCATCACAACCAAATTTGCTACCGAATGGCAGAGACATGTTTCCAAAGGAATGTAGCCACCAGAGGTGACAACACGCGCCACAGCAGTGTGTGGTCGTAGTGACCTGGAAAGGTCTTATGGAGCAGGTAGATTTTGAGCAGAGTTCGAAGCACAGGAAAATCCTGATGGACAGGAATGACCAGACGGGAAGGACTTCCCAAGTAAAGGACAGCAGGTCCAGAGGCGCAGGGTGGTAGGAAGTGCTAGATGGAGAGCTGCAGCCTTACTCTAGGCAATAGTGGAGGTGCTGCAAGTCTCTCCAATCTCTGCTCTGCGCTGGATGGATGAGGGTGTTTTTCTGCTAATCCAATGAAGCATTTTTTTATTTTTATTTTTATTTTTTTTTGAGAGGGAGTTTCGCTCTTGTTACCCAGGCTGGAGTGCAATAGCGCGATCTCGGCTCACCACAACCTCCGCCTCCTGGGTTCAGGCAATTCTCCTGCCTCAGCCTCCTGAGTAGCTGGGATTACAGGCACGCGCCACCATGCCCAGCTAATTTTTTGTAATCTTTAGTAGAGATGCGGTTTCACCATGTTGACCAGGATGGTCTCGATCTGTTGACCTCGTGATCCACCCGCCTCGGCCTCCCAAAGTGCTGGGATTACAGGCTTGAGCCACCGCGCCCGGCCCCAGTGAAGCATTTTTATGAGTGAAGGCATAGCTGAAACAATGTTCTTCCAGGGCATTTGGGGCCAAAGAAGCTTTGAGAGACCGATGCTTCAAAGCACCAAAGGAAAAAAGGAACGACTTAGACATTAACTCGTGCAGCGCGGCTTGAGCACCTCTGTCGTTTTGCAGCATGTAGTTTCCGGCACAATGCTGGGCACCCAGGAGACACTCTAATGCTTCATTGATTCTAGCAACCCACTTCTCCCTGCCTTCGAGAACTTTACATCTACTAGAAGTTGAGGTGCTAGTTTGATAACTACCTATATGAGGCAGTTTGTGCTGGCATCTAATGAACAGAAGAGGCTTGTTTATGAAAACACTTTGAATGAGATACAGATTTGGTCAAGGATGAGGTGTGTTACTCTTGTTATTTTGGTACTTGTATGTCATCCACTCCTTGGTTCTCTTTTTTCCATCACGGAAAGTAGAGGAAGGAACGGTTAACAGTAAAAATTTATTCAAAATAGGGGCTTCTTCATGACTGGCCTCTCCATTCTTCTCTCTTTGGTTTACCTTTTTCTCATTCACTGGTTAGGGATTCTTAGGTTCTTTATCCTTGGACAAGGAGCAACTGTTCCTGCTGCTTGCCTCTGTGGCACTTCCCAAAATAACCTGATGATCCTCTTGGCAGATTTGCTCCTTTGTCTGGGGAGCGAAAAAGCACTGGATTGATTATCAGTATGTCCCATATGCCAACAAAGGGGACGAGTGGGTTGGCTATGATGATGCCATCAGCTTCACTTACAAGGTGAGACCCTAGTTCTTTTGTGCTCCAGCACATGGTTTCCTACTGGCTTCCATGGGGCCCTTGTTTGTACAATGCATGCACGTGTATTGGGTCGAGGGTGAAAGCTGAGGATGATTAGACCAGGTGAGTTTCAGGCATACCTACACTTTAGTTCCAACTGGGGTTTCATAATCCCATCTGTTCCAAGTCTCTGTTCTGAAGAGAAGAAATCTAGGATCTGAGGGAATAAATAATTCTCTCTGTTCATACAGTTTTTTTGATGATCTTTTTGGTTTCTTCTTTTCCATTTGGACCAGCTCATTTCATAGCAGATAAATACCAACAAAAGGTAGATCATGGTAAGTGTTCTACAAATATTACTGACATGTAGCAGAAATGAGGAAGTCTGGGAGGGCTTCCTGAGGGAGGTGAGCAGGAGTAGGAGAAGATGATGACATGGGGGAAAGGCTCAGTGGTGTAGAAAACTGATAGCAGACTCAAAAAAGAATTTGGGTGAACCAGAGGCTTTTTATGAAGGGACTGGAATGCTGGTAAAGGTGTTTGGTCTTTTTCCTGTGGACATTTTAAGGCAGAATCATGTTTCTACCGGTGGATGACCTTTAACTTGCAAACTTCTAGAACTAAACTAAAACCCTCCCTTCATATAAGTGGTGTTTTATGAAGTTGAACCTGGCAGGTTTTTCTAGTGGACTAAAAGAGAACTGACATGCGCCAGCAGGTCCTAGACCTGCCTCCGCTCTGGAATCACCTGAGAGACTAGACACATGTAGAAATCTTGGTTTCACTCGTGAATATTCATTAGGTCTTAGAAAAACTTTGAAAACTGTTTTAGAATGCCTCCACATGTGATCCTTCCAGGTTGGCATTTTGGGAACTCCAGGGGGACACAGAGGTGTCCAAGCATGAGATAATGAGGGTCTGGACTAGGGTAGTTGGAAGGAGCAGCAGTTTACAGGTGAGAAATTGTTAGAATGTTGCTTGGATATTGAGACTTAGAGAGAATTCACAGTTCTCCTATTACCGGTGACGCAGAAATGGCAGGTGTTGGCTGTTCTTTGGGTGAAGTTTGTGTGGGAAGCACCAGAGAGGGAGGCACTCATGAAGATTTACTGTGTGGCTCGTCTGTGCATTAACACTGAGTGAGGCCTGCTGGGGAGGAGAGGGGTAAAAGAGTGTGGCTTCTCCCCTCTGGGATCTTGCTCTGTGGTTTGGGAATAGGAAGACACAAACAGGAAGGATCAATGACTCAATGGATTTATTCAATTGTATGGAATTAAATCTGTGACCCATAGGGCAGAGAGAGGGCAAAGGAAGCAGACAAGCTAAACGAAAGTAGAGAGCTGCCTACCTCTTCTCCCCAGAACCATTTGCCTTCCTTCAAGGATTGTGAAGTCCCCTTCCCAGGGAGGACTTGTTTACATTCCAGGTTCTCTCCTCTCTCTGGAGGGGAGGAGGGCCACATATGTCAACCATCCTATATAAGCTCTGAGTCTCATAATTTCAGGGTTGTCCTCTGCAGCACAGACCCCACTGCATATGCAGGTGAATTGAACATCTGACTTTCCTCACACTGTCTTTTGGATAATTGGGACATGGAAACCGACTCAAGGTGTTATTCTGGCTATTTTTGTTTTGTTTTGTTTTTCCGTGAATAATAAACATTCTGTCCTCTGATACAGAGGTCTAGGGTGTGTGTGTGTGTGTGTGTGTGTGTGTGTGTACACACACAAAACTGGCAGGCTAATTAGTTAGCTTGTAAGTAGAATAAACTTCTCAGAAACTTCACAGTTTCAGATTTAACGATTGGATCCCTCCTTCTTCTTATTTTATATTTGGGGGAAATCAACCCCTAAAATTAGCCAATTGCCTTGGCTAAGGCACACAGCTATTTGGACCTGATGGAGTCTGTCTTTTCCATCAGACTTGATAGAGAGCACTGGTAAGGTAATAGGACCTGGACTTGAGTCTCAGCTCTGCCATTTAGTTATAGTGGAGGTTTTAAAAAGCGTGGATGAAAGTCTTTATTCTCTTAGCTGTGAGAAGAGTACAATATTTTGTGCTCTACTGTATTTTATAGCATCACTGTGAGATAAGGAAATAAATTTTAAATAGTAGAGCAATATCTACAGTTGAATATGATAATAATGGTGATTAGTGAGGTGGGAAACCCAGAGGGATAGTAGCTAACATTCACTGTGTGCCAGGTATTGATCCAAATATGCATAGGAACTCTTTAGGAAAACTTATGCAGCATTCCTATGTAACATAAAACATAAGATTTACCATCTTAACCACTTTAAAGTCTGAAATTGAGTGGCTTTAATGCATTCATATTGTTGTGTAATTATCACCGCCATCCATCACCAGAAACTTTTCATCTTCTCGAATGAAAACCCTGTGCCCATTAAACAGCAACTTCCCCTTCCTCCTTCCTCCATAATTCTACTTTCTGTTTCTGGGAATTTGACTACTCTAGGTACTACATATAAGTGGAATCATATGGTGTTCATTATTTCGTATCTGACTTATTTCACTTAGCATAGTGTCTTCACACTTCATCCACATTGTAGTGTGTGCATGTAAGAATCTTTTGAGTCTAAAAATGTTGGACATGTTATTATCCTGTTTTTTTTTTTTTTTAACAAATCAAGACACATAAGGGTTATGTAACTTTTTCAAGATCTCATAGGTAATAAGCAGTGAAAGCTAGATTCAAATGTAGACTACACTTGTGACCACCCTGCTACGTTGCTTCCTCAGGGGCTACCTTCAGTTTTTGGCCATTGTACCCAGTCAGGAGGGTGACAAGTACAGCGCGTTGACTGACTGTTACTTCTACAGGCATGGTTTATAAAGCGAGAGCATTTTGGGGGGGCCATGGTGTGGACATTGGACATGGATGACGTCAGGGGCACTTTCTGTGGCACTGGTCCTTTCCCCCTTGTCTACGTATTGAATGACATCCTGGTGAGGGCTGGTAAGTAACTGTGACCTGGAAGTTGGGGGTGGAAGTTGTATAACCAGGCACTGGGTGAGTCTATTCTGCTAGATCTAAATGCCTGGGTGAGGCAACATGACATTGAGGGGACAGAAAAAGCTTTGCCAGGCCAATATGTTTTCCAGTCTTTGTTTGGATACTCGGACCTTATCTGGTCTCTTTGAGCTTCCTTTGCTCCATCTAAAATGAGAATAATCTGTACACTCATGACGTTATTATAAGAACTAAGTGAGCTGTGGAATGAAAAATTGTCTTAGCACTCAATTTACGTTAGTCTATTTCTCTCCTTCTTTTGCTCTCATGGTCAAGGGCTAAAGGAATTAGGTTTCTTTTGATATCTCTTCCTTGGCACTGAGGAGATGAAACCTAGTGTGCAAGAGGTGAAGCATGCATATAGATGGTTTATAATCTTCATTCTACCGGTAACGAGACTGGATCTCAGTCAGGTCAAGTCTTTAGGTGAGCCCCAGTCCCACTGTTCACAGCATGCTGTCTCCAGCCTCCTGGCCCCTGGCTTTGTTCCTGCAACACAGAGACAGAAGAAGCTTCTCCTTGAACATTCATCAAGTCATTCTTTAGAATTAGGCCTTGGGGCAAGGTTTTGCTGGTGGTGTAATCAGAGATGTCAAAGTGAGGGCTTAAGCACAGGGAATGGGCTTCTTTCTGGGGTAATTCATGGGAAATGTAGCAAATCCACTGAGTGCCCGTGGGTGTTTGCGCCTTGTGAATAAGACGGTATGGAGCAGAGCTTCTATGTGGTGGGATTTCCTCTGTGTCCTCAAGGAGGTATAGTGTGAAATCTTACGCTTCTGAATTCTGGAGCAGGTACTTCAGCCCTGGAGTGGTTCTAGTTCTGCCAGTAATTAATAGGATGGGAATGAAGCGGCAGGAATCTCATTCTTTTCTGTTGATTTTCCCTAGTGTTCAATTCAACTTCTTCACCACAATTTTGGCTGTCATCCTCCGTGAATTCTTTAAGCACTGACCCTTCAAGCACTTCGATGCTGGCTGTGACCAAGGCATCGACCACTGATACTAAGATTTTGCCCCCAGGAGGAGAGACTGATGTCACTGAGATCCATGGAAAGTATGAAAATATGACTATAACCCCTAGAGGCACAACTGTGACCCTTACAAAGGAAACTGTATCCCTTGGAAAGCACATTGTAGCTCGAGGAGAGAAGACTGAGATCCCTGGGGCAAAGACCATGAGTTCTGTGGGTCATCACTTCATGACCCCTGGAGAGAAGGCCCTGACCCCTGTGGGTCATCACTATGAGCCCTCTGGGAACAAGACCCTGACCTCTGTGGGTCATCAGTCCTTGACTCCTGGGGAGAAGACCCTGACCCCTGTGGGTCATCAGTCCGTGACCCCTGGGGAGAAGACCCTGACCCCTGTGGGTCATCAGTCTGTGACCCCTGGGGAGAAGACCCTGACCCCTGTGGGTCATCAGTTCGTGACCCTTGGGAACAAGACCCTGACCCCTGTGGGTCATCAGTCTGTGACCCCTGGGGAGAAGACCCTGACCCCTGTGGGTCATCAGTCTGTGACCCCTGGGGAGAAGACCCTGACCCCTGTGGGTCATCAGTCCATGACCCCTGGGGAGAAGACCCTGACCCCTGTGAGTCATCAGTCCATGACCCCTGGGGAGAAGACCCTGACCCCTGTGGGTCATCAGTCCGCGACCCCTGGGCAGAAGACCCTGACCCCTGTGGGTCATCAGTCTGTGACCCCTGGGGAGAAGACCCTGACCCCTGTGGGTCATCAGTCTGTGACCCCTGGGGAGAAGACCCTGACCCCTGTGGGTCATCAGTCTGTGACCCCTGGGGAGAAGACCCTGACCCCTGTAGTTCATCAATCTGTGACCCTGGTGAGTCATCAGTCCGTGAACCCTGGAGAAATGACTATGACCCCTGTTCATTTTCAGACTGAGACCCTTAGAGAGAATGCAATGGCCCCTAGAAGGCAGGCTGTGGCCCTTGAAAAGGTGACTGTCCCCTCCAGAAAGGTATCAGTCAGCCCTGAAGGGCAGAGTATGCCTCTAAGAGGGGAGAATTTGACTTCTGAGGTGGGCATTGACCCCACGATGGGTAACTTGGGTCTTGAGATGGAAGCTGAAAAGAGGATGATGCTGCCCTCCAGCCCTATCATCCAGTTCCCGGAAGGCACTCCTCCAGCTTTTGACAATCGCTTTGTTCCTGTCTATGTAAACCATTCCTCTGTCAACTCAACGACCCCTCAAACAAGTCCTCTTTCTCTAAAAAAAGAAAATCCAGAAAACTCTGCTGTGGATCAAGGAGCCTAAGCCCTGGTGGTGTCAGAAACCAGGGAAAACGCTTGTCTTTTCTTCTAAGTAACATGATGGATGCCTCCTCATCCTGGGGCAAGGCAGGCATCAAAACCACAATTGGCCAATCTCTTTTCTATTAAATAAACTGGAAACACAAGAACCCACCTGAGTTCTCTGAGATTCTTTTCTTGAATTGGACTCTGCAACTCACTTGTTAGCTTCTCCCTTTCAAGGTTATTTCCCCACTGCTATTTTTGGAAAGAGGGAGTTTGTATCTGGTTGGAAAGAGGGAGTTTGTGTCTGGTTGGAAAGAGGGAGTTTGTGTCTAGTTGGAAAGAGGGATACAATGTTGCTATCCTGTGTGGATGATGTACTTTCTTCTTTGCTATGAGGAACTGCTCACTTCACCGTCGGTGGGAGCCAGAATCTCTTAAAACAGTTTTCACCATCCTCAAGGGGAGCTGAGGCGGGAGGGGAAAGCTGAGTTTTCCAATTATATTCTCCCCTTGGTAAAATCCTTGTTGTCCCTGAAAAAACAGTCCCATCTAGTCCCTCCTCAAGAAGTGTTTGAGGAGAAGGTATAAAAAAGATACTTTAAAAATTATTTCTTACAGTATTACTTGCACACTTCTGCTAGGTCTCCTCCAGAAACAGCATTAAATGCTCTATACATGCATTAAATGTATATATATATCTCATGCATTAAATGTTTAATACACCTGTGGAACGTTTTCCTAGGTATCACTGTCCCTCATAAGTTGCTATAGCCACCGGATCAATTTCTAGCCCTCCACTTTTAGAAGCTAGTGCTACATAAACTGGGTGTCATGCCTATCATTAATACTACTTTTTTGTTTTGGAAGTGTAGCCTCCACATCTTTCAGCTGGAGTCTCAAGTTAAAATGTCCATAGAACCAGGCATAAAGATTGAAGCACGTGAAAGCACATGGCCATTTGCTTAACAGAACCTAGGTCATGTATGAAAGAAACCCTTTTGTCTCAACAAAACAATTAGCTGGGCATGATGGCTCATGCCTTTAGTCTCAGCTACTTGCGAGGCTGAGGTGGGAGGATCACCTGAGCCTTGGAGATTGAGGCTGCATTGAGCCTGGGTGACAAAGCAAGACCCTGTCTCAGAATAAATAAGTAAATATTTCTGATGGATCTGAGAGTTTTTTCTGTCCCATCTTCTGCACGCACTTTATTCAAGGGTAACTTGCCTTCCAGTTTCTAATTTATTTATGTTTTTATAGAATTTATGAGCTGCCTTGAACTTATCTCTTAGCTATACATTGGCTGGGTCTTCTATCTCTATCATCTAACCCAAAGCATAGATCAAAATTCTTGCTTCTATTATGATAGCTGTTAGTTGCAGACGATGGAATCCACTAAAGCTAATTTAAGAAAAAAGACACTACATGGTATTAGAGTTTCTGGGAGGATAAGGAAACCAGGATGGGATACTATACATCTGGATACAACACATCCAGGGGATATGGATAACTCACTTTTTAAGACATACTGTTAAAGGTCTCAGATTTTACCCTACTTGCAACCTAGCAACCCAACCTTTCTGCAGTGCGTGTGTGCCCACAAAAAACAAGACCTGTGGGTCAGAGACAAGGGAATACATTAATAATAACACAAGCCAGAACAATATCTTTTGCCAGTTCCAAAAGCTGCAAGGGAGATGCAATGAGGGCCAAACTGTGCCTGCACATTCAGTGGGTACATTTCAAGAGAGGAACCCCCAAATTAGGAAACTATGATGTTATATATAAGGCTTTGGATGACCAGCCCATTTCCCCCCTCTTCTTTTTTGCCCAGAGATAGAGATTTATCTCTAGGTCTCAAGTTTTTTTGCTATTCAAATATCTTTGAAAAGATAGTCCAAGATGTCCAGAAATGCCAGACCTGTGGAAATACTTTGGGATTATTCTAGCAGTAATCGCACTGCCTGCAACTCAGCATCCATGATGTTGGAGACTAGATACTAGAACCTCCGACTCAGCTTTCCCAGAAAACCTGGTCTCCCCTATACATTCATTACCTTTATTCTATAATTCACCTAAGTTTCCTATAGCCACATTTGCTTAGCAGAACATAGGTCACAGAGGAAACCCTTACTTCAGGGAATCTGGGAATTCAATTTTAGCTTGCTAGCCTGTATCACAGAAAAGCATACTAGAGGGTGTTAAAATGAGTACGGAGTTAGGCAATGTTACAGCTTTTAAGGATCACTCTGTGGCTATGTAACATACATATATACAGACATATATATTAATGCTTCTCATACTTGAGTATACTAACAACAAGAATTGCAAAGAGTCCTCTTACCTAATAAAATGCAAAAATGTATCCTCTCAATGAAAATGTGGCAGTGGTGGGGGCAGCTAAAAATGGAATGCTGTTACAAATGAACTCTACTTAACAACAGCAACATAACTGAACTGAAGAGGTTAGGGAGGAAAAATACAGGCCTTGGTAATTTGAACTTTGGAAAATAGGATCTTGAATTTATATTGAAAGGCTAAAGACAAGAGGAACTAGACATAAATATTGTACTCTCATTGGTAAATTTATTTCTTACTGATGTATACATTAGCAATTCTTTTTTTTAAAAAATATATTTTAGGTTCAGGGGTACATGCAAAAGTTTGTTACACAAGGTACAGTTGTGTCACAGGAGCTTGTTGTACAGATTATTTCATCACCCAGGTATTAAGCCCAGTACCCCGTAGTTGTCTTTTCCTCCCTTCCCCCTTCACCTACCCTCCACCCTCAAGAAAACCTCAGTTTCTGTTGTTTCCTTCTTTGTGCTTCTGAGTTCTCAGCATTTAGGCCCCACTTATAAGTGAGAACATGTGGTATTTGTTTATCTGTTCCTGCTTTAGTTGGCTAAGGATAATATCCTCCAGCTCCATCCATGCTCCCACAAAATACACAATCTTCTTGGTTTTTTTTAATGGCTGCATAATATTTCATGATGTGTATATACCACATTTTCTTTATCCAATTTGTCACTGATGGGCATTTAGGTTGATTCCATGTCTTTGCTATTGTGAATAATGCTGCAGTGAACATTCACCTGCACGTGTGCTGTATCCATTTTTTTTTTTTTTTTTTGAGACAGGGTGTCACACTGTTGCTCAGGCTGGAGTGCAGTGGCACAATCATGGCTCACTGCAGCGGATCAGGTGATCCTCCCATCTCAGCTTCCCCAGTAGCTAGAACCACAGGCATGCACCACCACACCTGGCTAATTTTTGTGTTTTTGGTAGAGATGGGGTTTAGCCATATTGCCCAGGCTGGTCTCAAAATGCTAGGATTATAGCTGTGAGCCGCCTCACCTGGCCACGTGTGTCTTTATGGTAGAATGATTTCTATTCCTCTGGGTATATACCCAGTAATAGGATTGCTGGGCTAAATGGTAGTTCTGCATTTAGCTCTCTGAGGAATAGCCATACTGTTTTCCACATGGGTTGAACTAATTACACATCATTAATAGTATATAAGTGTTCCCTTTACTCTGCAATCTCACCAGCATCTGTTATTTTTTGACATTTTAATAATAGCCATTCTGACTGGTGTGAGATGGTATCTCATGCTGGTTTTGATTTGCATTTCTCTGACAACCAACGATATTGAGATTTTTTTTTTCAGATGTTTATTGGCCACATGTATGTGTTCTTTTGAAAAGTGTCTGTTCATGTCCTTTGCCCACTTTTTGATGGGGTTGTTTGTTTTTTCTCTTGTAAATTTAAGTTCCTTATAGATGCTGGATATTAGACCTTTGTCAGATACATAGTTTGCAAATATTTTCTCCCATTCTGTAAGTTGTCTATTGACTCTGTCAATAGTTTCCTTTGCTGTGCAGAAGCTCTTGAATTAATTAGATCACACTTGTTGACTTTTCCTTTCGTTGTCTTTGTCATGAAATCTTTGCCCGTTCTAATGTCCAGCATGGTGTTGCCTAGGTGTCTTCTAGGGTTTTTTTGTTTTTTAATAATGTTTTGTTTTACATTTATGTCTTTAATCCATTTTGAGTTGATTTTTGTATGTGGTGTAAGGAAGGGATTCAGTTTCAATCTTCTGCGTATGGCTAGCTAGTTATCCCAGCACCCTTTATTGAATAGGGAGTCTTCTCCCCTTTGCTTTTGTCAGCATTGTTGAAGATCAACTGGTCGTAGGCATGAATTATTTCTGGGCTCTCTATTCTGTTCCACTGGTCTATGTGCCTGCTTTTGTACAGTACAATGCTGTTTGGTTACTATAGTCTTATACTATAGTTCAAAGTTGGGTGATGCCTCTAGCTTTGTTCTTTTTGCTTAGGATTGCCTTGGCTGTTTGGGCTCTGTTTTTGTTCCATATGAATTTTAGAATAGATTTTATAGTTCTGTGAAGAATGTCACTGGTAGTTTGATAGGAATAGCATTGAATCTATAAATTGCCTTGGGCAATGTGGCCATTTTAATGATATTGATTATTCCTATCCATGAGGGTGAGATGTTATTCCATTTGTTTGTGTCTTCTCTTATTTCTTTGAGGAGTGTTTTGTAACGCTCATTATAGAGATCTTTCACCTCCCTCATTAGCTGTATCCCTAAGTATTCTATCCTTTTTGTGGCAAGTATAATTCCCAAATATTTTTAGAAATACATTTAGATTCTAAAGAGATTGCTTTTCTAATTTGGCTGTTGGCTTGGCTGTTGGTGTACAGGAATGCTAGTGATTTTTGTACATTGGTTTTGTATTCTGAAACTTTGCTGAAGTTGTTGATCAGCTGAAAGAACTTTTAGGCTGGGACTATGGGGTGTTTTAGATATAGTATCATGTGGTCTGCAAGCAGAGTTAGTTTGACTTTATCTCTTTCTAGTCACATACTGTTTTTTCTTTCTCTTGCCTGATTACTCTGGCTAGAAGCAATTCTTAAACTACGTCACATGTATTCCAAAAGTCAGCAAGTAAATAAATGTCCTGTAGACAATGAAAGCTGTGTTTCTCACTGTCAGAGAAATAAATTATAAATAGGGAAGGAGAAGAGGCTAGGATGAACCCTTTGGTATTGGAATTGGAGGTATTTCAGTATTCGATTATGGTTTTATTTAATATATATTTAATATATTTTATAATATATTTATAAATATATATTTTAAAAGATATT